CTAAAACTTAGCTTTCGAATTTTTTTTCGAAATTTTAAGATTTTTTAGGACCCCACGGAAACCCTAAAGAGAACACATAAAAACCCCCAAACATCCATATCTATTCTTAAGTTATCCAATAAGCCATGCATTAAGAAATCTGAATTTCACACTACTTGGCAAAGCAGTGTAAATGGTAGAACGATAAAGGTAGAAACTAGGCGAATAAAACATCAAGAGACATTATTTAAATTCATGACAAAAAGCATCAAAACATCTGAAGGAACAGCCAAACCTGGAACATGTGAAGCCCTGGAGAGAGTATCTGCCCACACACACACAGAGAGAGAGCTTCAACTTTATAAAACATGATCTGCCCACACAGTTCAGCATTCTGCAGCACATAACTCTGCATTTGTGATGGACAGGCAGGGGGTTCCTAAAGAAGCAGTGGCTCTGGTGCTACTGCATACCCTAGAACAGTCTATTACAAACTTAATATCTACCCCAAAGACTGAACACGACAGAAAAACTGACAGCTATTACTTCCCAACCACAAAGGACCACCATAACAGCTGATTTACCCATAGCAAAAGCGCTAAGTAAAATTCAGAGATGTATTATTGTAAAGAAATCGCGTAGGATGTTGTTTTTCTGGACGATCTTACCTTTAACACTCTCCCAAGGGACACGAAGTCCAGTCCTAGATTGTTGTTTGCAGGGATGGATTGATGGGGTGAAAAGTAGAGGGGAATGAAAGGCTAAAAAAAAAGTCCCAGCATGCACTGCTACGCTCCACTGAAGTCAAGGCCACGATGACATGCGGTAAGAAAGGAGAGTCTCGGAAAGAGCAACAGAACAACGGATGGAGTGACAGAGAGAGGAAATAAGAGGAAGGGGGCCACCCACTATTTCATAAGGAGAACGATTTTCCCTTTTTCCAGGCTGGTCACACATTCAGGGATTTACCCTACTGTGAACGCGGGGCGTGGTGGAGTGAGTCTGAGAGAGAAAAGTCTTCAGAGAGACTGAGAAGTTGAAGCAGAGAAAACCAGCTGCTGTAAAAACCAGTGGGATGATCCTCTTAAAAACGGTTATGTCATGAAACGGGTGTAATCCGAAAAATAATAAAGACGTAACGGGAGAATAACAACACAGCTGAATGTGCTATGAGGTTTCAAAGAATTTCACTCACACACACAAATATATATATAGATGTAATGCTGCTGAATCAGCACAGCCTTTGTGTATCAGTGATGAATCGCCTTGAATCCTGGGTAGGGAGAGATATTACTGTAAGTACAGGGATTGCTTTAGGACTGTTCATGTTTAGAAGTAGACATACTTAGATGAGGCCAGAGGGACAAATCCGATTAAACGTTGCCAAAAAAGACAAAAATTATCAAGCAGCTGCTGTGGAATACATTAGTTTTATCTCAGTTTAGGTCCCAATGGCCTTCCTCACCTACAGTGAATAGTAGAACGTCATCATGTGCATGAATTTATATGAGATCAGTTGCACATGACCCAGCAAAAGCAGATTGAGGATCTTCAGTATTGCAAATTAAGTTACAAATATCCTTCCACGGAGAAGTGGAAGGAATTCAAGGAAAAAATGCCTTGACTTTATGTGAAACTTCAATTGCCAAATTTCTAACAGAAGTCCATTGGGTGAAATTTAGCTGATGTTTTTTTGGTTTGTTTTGTTTCAATGGTAAATGTGATGGAGGAAACTTCAAAATTATAAAAGAAAATATATAATCATGCTAGAGTTTAATAGTGAAGCAACAGATCCCAAAACTCGCATTATGGCTTTTGCGTCACGGATTGGACCATTTTTGGACCACAGATGTAATTTGCTAGTAGGCCTGTCACAATAATCAATATATCAACTTAATCGCACAACACGTGGACCTGTCCTCAAAAAATTTTGGTGATGCGATGTATATCGGCCATGCATAAAAAACGATCCTAACCATATTTTAGCTGATTGCGCAGTCTCTCTCTGTCTATTGGAGGTGTCAGTGTGGTAAAAGTCCCTATATTAATTATTATAAGTTACTAATATTTTCATGCGGGTGGCTGATGATTGAAAATAGCTGTTACTCTAGTTCTTCTTGTTTAGATTTTTGACTCCGAAAACGAATGATTAAATTGTTAAAATGACTATAATTAAATAAAATTTTTCTTAAGAATGAAATAGTATGTGTTCTTTAAAGGAGTGCACTTGCATTATGATGCTATTGTAGTTTTAAAAATGGTCAAAAAATGACGACAATATTGTTTATCGTTTTAATAAATAAATTTATTGCTGTAAATCGTACAAAAAAAAAAAATATATATATTTATATATATATAGAGAGAGAGAGAGAGTGACAGGTCTATTTGTGAGATGACAAATGTAATTTGCTTTCCATCGTAACAAAAACAGTCAATTATATTAATAGAAATGCATTCATTACATCATTATTTTGTAAAAAAGCAATTAAAACTTTCTAAGGTTATTAGAATTTTGGACATCAAAAGTGCTACAGGCGTCCTGAGTTCAAATCCTGGCTCATGGACCTTTCTCAATCCTGTTCCCCTCTCTCCTACTTCACTTCCTGTCTTTCTACTGTACTTTCAAATAAAGGTAAAATGCCACCAATTAATTCCAAGTCAAATTCTATGAACCTGTATTTTTAACTGAATTGAACACGAAACATGAAAGACTCCCAAGATCTCGTATAGCAAGTAGGCAAAATTAAACAGTTTGAGTGCATTTGTATGATTTCCTACCATATCCTACTTAATATTAATCATCATCATCATTATCATTATTCAAGTAGAATAAAAAAATAAATATTAAATATCAGGGCAACGCAGTGGCGCAGTAGGTAGTGCTATCGCCTCACAGCAAGAAGGTCGCTGGGTCGCAGGTGGAGTTTGCAGGTTCTCCCTGTGGTCGCGTGGGTTTTCTCCGGGTCCTCTGGTTTCCCCCACAAGTCCAAAGACATGCGGTACAGGTGAATTGGGTGGGCTAAATTGTCCGTAGTGTATGAGTGTGTGTGTGTGTGTGAAAATGTTTCCCAGAGATGGGTTGTGGCTAGAAGGGCATCTGCTGCGTAAAAATGTGCTAAATAAGTTGGCAGTTCATTCCGCTGTGGCGACTAAAGGGACTAAGCCGACAAGAAAATGAATTAAATGAATATTAAATATCATTTCTTAATAAATAGCCTTATTATTTATTTATATGATTTATATGAGATTAGAATATGTGTTAGCTTTTGTAAGTGATTTTATGTTTTATGCAAATATGTAATGTTCTCTATAATATTAGTAAAGGAAACACAGGCCTTATATGTGCCATTCACATATGTTTCAATTAATATCTATTTAATGTGGCATGTTTTTACCAAAACTAATATTGGATTTTTTGTTAAATGTGAATGCGTGTAAAACAATGTAATTTGCACAAAGAAATAGGAGAAAAAGGAGTTCTACTCTAAAAAAGTTGTTACCACCCTGTTTAGAGCATCATTATGGGCATTTACATTAGAACTAATGTCGTTCAAATGATGGATCTGTGACAGAGAAACTATGGGTTTTGGGAAACACTCGTCACTACATCGTTCTTTTCCAAACGATGCATCGTACTATGATAGTTCAGCTGTGAGTTGCGTCATTGTTTGTTAACACATCCCTGATTAAGCACCGAAGCACACCTATATTTTATAGATTTTTGCACTTAGTTAGTCCAAATGGTCTCAGCATTGAACTAGGTCGCCGATATTGGCCACAACTATATTTGAAAGAAGTACAGACATTTTTGTTGCTTATAAGCAGAAAAAAAAACAATTGAAACGAAAAGAAACTCCATGAGGATAAGCCTTTCTAAAGTCCACTGAGTTGCACAGATCCATGCACAGACCTTCCAAACCTTTCTAAACAATTGTCTGATTTTAAAAGTTGAGCTTTATTCTAGATTGCATTTATTCAGATTACCACAGCATAGACAGTACTCAAATGCAACCATTTTTATCTGCAACAACTAATGTGCATGTGTTGTCCAAATATAAATTAACAACACACACACACACATTTTCAATGCTGTCAATCTGTCTTGTTCTCCAGCCTGCTGCATCTTTCAGGTCACCTTCTATAATAGCACAGCAATTCTTATTCTGTCCTCATTCTCGCTTTCTTCACTACAGATGGCAAATTAATCCCCAGTTGTCAAAATAAACCATTAAATCAAACTCTACAAAGAGCATGCAGGAAACACAAGCCAAACTAGCCAACTGCCATGGCTACACAAGTTAACCCATCTTGATTCCTCTTAAACACAAACAGCGAATGGAAATGAGAGCCATATGGCTACCTGACAGGACAGGCAGACAGGTGCGTTGGGTAACAGTCCCTACAGGAAGGCAGCACCTGTCAGAAATAAGTGTGTGCTCAGCACTGAAGTGGTGCGACTTCATGCCTGGGTGGCAACAGCATCACTAATCAGCTCCCAAATCCACCAACTACCTGTGCCATCACTGCATCTCTGAACAGCTATACGAAAAGAAAGAGCTGCTCGACTCACACACACTGGTGGTCTACACTCATCGTTCTCCCTAAAGGTGGAATTAGTTCCGCTTTCTGGAGCCTGGCTTTTCCCCTGTTGGAATCTGGGCCAGATGGTTGGACGAGATGACAACTTTTTGCAGGAAGCAGATCACAAAAAGAATGAGTGATGTGTCAAATGCTTATATGAAAGAAAATTCAGAGTGACTCTGGGACGTGACGGTTCTGGCTGTTTTTGGCTAGGGTTAACAGAGAAACCCTGAATGACACGATGTGGCTGAAATGCTTCGGTATTGAAAAGTGTCAGATTCAATCTTTTTGCGGCAGCTGCTTTGCATTACAGTGGTCAGAAAAGCACAAGATGTTCTTCGGGAGGAGAAGTAAAACCCTTAGGATGCATTTGGAATAACCACAATGCTAAGATTAGAAAAGAAGGCACACATTTTGATGAGGATGAGATATGAACTAACCCCGTTCTCGTTGTGCGTGTCTGAGCTGCTTCCTCCTCTCCTGCTGGGCTGCTCCTGAGACTGCTGGCTCCCTGAGAGTGAAGAAATTAAAAACATAATGAGCGCATCAAACAAAAAGCACATTCAATTGATACATATAATCATGAATGAACAACAAAAATGCATCTTAAAATACACGGTGGTTGGCTGAATGGAGAACGCATCATCGTCATAAGACAAATGTTTAAAGGGCTGTTAGTTTTTGCCATGTGACACTGGGAACGGAGCTTGTGCTTTCAGTGGATGACTGCCTCTGTTTCCCTCCCTCCCTCCCTCCCTCCCTCCCACACACACACACACACACACACACACACACACACACACACACACACACACACACACACACACACACACACACACACACACACACACACACACACACACGCACAGGGGGTTTCAGGTTTATGGCTTAATCTATGTGGATGCTTGCTACAAGCTAATCCTGCCCACATTTAAAGGAAAACCTCATTGGGATGTGAACAGAAAAATCAAAACAAACAAATGATAGGATAAAGAACAAGAGGAGGAGATTTTAGCTGTGCTAACATGAATCATGCACATGATCATATGAGCAACAAGCCCACCCATGGAGAAATCTCACTGGTCAAAAATCCTGCTTTACAAAGCTGATCAGAAAGGGACTAAGTCGGTTTCATCTTTTTATTGTGAAAACAAGATTTTAGTGAAAGTTAAGCATACTTTTATTTTGCAAGGATTACATTTTATTAGTAACCTATTTGAACTTTCTATTCATAAAAGCTTTATGGAAAACAAAAATATCCCGGTTTTCACAAAAATAAAAAGCAGTACAATCTTTTACAACGTTGAAGCATGCGAGTGATTTCTGACAGATCATATGACAATAAAATTCAATTATGTCAAAGGATTCAAATGTATTTTGAAAATTTAAAATAATATTTTTTAGCTTGTTTTGATACAAATACAAAGACTTAATGCAAATACGAACCTTCTATCAAACACATTAAATTTCTCATAACACCAAAACTGAATGGTAGTCAATGTAATATACAGTTGAAGTCAGAATTATTAGCCCCCCTGTTTATTTTTTTCCCCAATTTCTGTTTAACTGAGAGAAGATTAACACATTTATAATCATAATAGTTTTAAAAACTCATTTCTAAAAACTGATTTATTTTATCTTTGCCATGAGGACAGCAAATAATATTTTAATAAATATTTTTCAAGACACTTCTATACAGCTTAAAGTGACATTTAAAGGCTTAACTAGGTTAATTAGGTTAACTAGGCAGGTTAGTGTAATTAGGCAAGTTATTGTATAATAATGGTTTGTTCTGTAGACTATTGAAAAATATAAAGTTTAAAGAGGCTAATATTTTTTACCTTAAAATTATTTTAAAAACATTTAAAAATGCTATTATTCTAGCTGAAATGAAACTTCTCCAGAAGAAAAAAAGATAATTTTAAGAAAAAAAAAACATATTAATAATGTGTCTCTAGGGGACCCCTAAATGTGTGGGCCCTTAGAATCATCCTAACTTCCCCAGCGCATCAGCAGATTCGTGCTAAGTCATTGGTTTTGATACCGCCCCAAAAATAATTTTAACCCTAAAGATGAAATTAGCTGACAAAATCTCAAAATTATCCAGTTTTGCCCACAATTAACGCTGACAGATGCTAATGTTTTCTTAACTGATGCTTAAAATCTCAAAAAAATACTTTAAAAAAATTGAAACTGTAATGGAATGGCATGAACTAACTGTGAAAACTGAGCCTTAAAATATTGAACAGTAAACATTTTGAGACCATTAAGCAAAAGTCAAAAGTTTTAATTTTAAAATATATTTTTTTTATACCCATACAATCCATTGTGATAGTCCATGTGAAATCCAAATGGTCAATGTTTTTTTTTTTCAATGCTACAGTAAACAATGTTATTCTTTATGTGAACAATTAATTAGTGAAAGTTAATAAACTTAATATATATATATATATATATATATATATATATATATATATATATATATATATATATATATATATATATATATATATATATATATATATATATATATACACACATTTTGGAGGTCAGATTGACAGCTTCAGCCACTATATCCTTAACCACACCCTTCACTATTAGATTGCTATGAGGCCTTAATATAAAAAAAGCCCTGCTCCTACTCAATATTCTGTTTCAGCTGGAAAAACGTCAACATACTGAAACAAAAGTCTGAGCAACTGGTTCATCCAGACTTTAATGTACTTGAACACTTTAAATGTTTTTTTGCACCACAACAGTAAAGATTTAAAAAGGCAAGGTGCTCCATTGCATAACCAATAATTACACATTACATTGTACATGAATCAGTTTTGAAGAAAATATATGGTAGTTGGTTTTATATAGAATGGTATAAATACATAGTAGTTGATTTTGCTGTGGTAGATTATTTCTTAGTTAGTGCCTTGCTCATAGATGCTTGAAGGCCATTGCACTTGCAACGATACTTTGACATCTCTTAGTTTGTGAAAGCCCAACAGAACTGAATCATGAACAGAACCCTCCATTGTTTGGCCAGAATGTGTTTGTCTTTTTCTCTCACAAGTCAGAGGCCACTGAGAGGGAATGAAAAACATCCAGCTACTCAGCCAATGAGATAAAGGCGGCGGTGGGCGTGATGTGGCCTGTAGCCATTAAAGTGGGAGTGTTCTCACCCTGATCGCTGCTTTCGGTGGGCGAGTCTTCATGGCGTAGGTAGAACTTGACCTCTTGCTTCCTAGGGCCCCATTTCTGCAGGTGCTCATACATCATGTGGTCAAAGGGAATGGCTCGCTCTGGAGAGGGGAGAACATTAAAACAACAAACCACTTTAAAAATCACATCTTTTTTAGAGTGTGTTTATTTCTCAATGGAACAAAGCGTGTTCACATCAAAAAGAGAGCAGGAGAGAAACTGTCTTATCCTGAAGTGTGTTTCATTCCAATGTTACGCACACCTGAGAGGAGAACAGAAGAACAAATACAGTGGGATCAAAGGAACAATGGAAAAGTGAAATTGAATCAAATGTGGCATCCGGCCAGAGAAATGTGGTGAGGCTGGGTGGGCAGCAGATACATGGATAAGGGTAAAAACAATATTTTGGACATTGATAACAGGTGAAGGGACATCTGGACGTTTGGCGGACACCCAGAGGAGGATGGAATAAAACCACACAGAACAATAGAAGAAAGTATGAAAGTGAAGAAAAGCTTCTAGGGCTCAGGGACATTTACAAAGCAAGTAAGAACAGCCAATTTAAACTTGCATGAAACCTGGAGCCAAAGCTTTAGCTAAAGGGCAAAAACAACAAAAGGACGTTAACCTCTATATACTCACGAGCAAGTATTATTGAGTTTGACAACCAGTCTATTCAGACAGGAACTATTTTAGAGCTGTATTTCCTAAAGAAAATGGCTGCTGACCCAAGTAAAGCCTAGATATAATGCTAGCATGTTGCCAGGTTTTTCCAGAAAAAAGCAGGGAATGTTTTGATGGTGTTTTAGGTGACCATTTACAGTACTAGTTCAGGTCAAAAGGAGAGTTAGGCTTTGGAAGAGTCAATTTGATGTTTCTTTGTAACTGGGTATATTGATTTACATATAATAACTTGGTTATTGAGAACTTAGATATAACTTAGATATTAATAACTTTGTTTTGTTTATTGTAAGGCGGTACATATAGAGAATTCAAAGGATTAGTTCACTAAAAATGACAATTTTAGCAATAATTCACCCTTATGTCATGCCAAATCTTTGTTATTTTCAAGAAATTTCTGTGCCTCCAGTGAAAGTCCATTAAACCAAACTTTTACTGGTTCAAAATATTTATAAAGACACTGTAAAAAGTCATGCATATGAATTGAGTCATATATATTTGATATATCAATATATTTAATATAAAAAAATTGGGCAGCACTATGACTGAGCGGGTAGCACATTCACCTCTCAGCAAGAAGGTTGCTGGTTTCAGTCTTAGCTGGGTCAGTTAGCGTTTCTGTGTGGAGTTTGCATGTTCTCCCTGTGTTGGCGTGGGTTTCCCCTGGGTGCTCCGGTTTCCCCTTACAAGTCCAAAAACATGTGGTATAGGTGAATTGGATAGGCAAAATTTTCAGTAGTGTATGTGTGTGAATGAGGTTTATGAATGTTTCCCAGAGAGGGGTTGCAGCTGGAAAGGCATCCGCTGTGTAAAACATACACTGGATAAGTTGGTGGTTCATTCCGCTGTGGCAACCCCAGATTAATAAAGAGACTAAGTCTAAATTAATTTATTCATTCATTATTTATTTATTGCCATGTCAGCTACTAAGGCTATTTTCATGGCAAGAGCATTTCAGTAATTAACAAACATCAACAGTAAAAAATAAATAATTGAATATACAGGACTAAGTCGAAAAAAAAAAAGTAAATGAATGATTAAATTTGGAAAAAATAAATGTGTGATAACTGATTCTCCTAAAGAGATTTGAATTGCTTAATTTTGGATATTTGGATATCAGATTAAGTCTTACAGATTTAGAACAACACGAGTGACTAATTGACAGCTGTATTACATAAAGTGAAATTTCATTTAATTGTTTCTCATTAAAAAAAGATTACAGACGTTCCAAAATAACTACGTAATTGAAAAGCTTAAACCACTGAACACCACCAAGAGAAGAACTGGTGAGGGAAAATATCAACTTGGTAAGTGATAACGGTGGATCTTACGCAATCCATCACCTGCTGTAAAATAACCAGGCTCATCACAATTTCGAATGACAGATGCACTTCAGGATTAAAGGACACAGTGCTGATGGAAGGACTTTTGAAAGGAGGCTCCCTGAGCAAAGATAACATTTCTGGCACACAGCTGTTTATACAAATCACCATCATCAGGGGAAATGGAAAATTGAAAAGAAAAAAAGAAAAAACATGGACCCATCTGTCAGAACAAAAGTATCGGTTTAATCTGAAAAGACCAAGTGAGGGTGTTTTTCTTTGCAGCCAGATAATTCCTAAAAACATTGACAGTGAGTGTCTTTGAGAGATAAAAAGCAAACAGATTTGTATTTTTAAGAAAAAATCCTTGGGAGGGAAGGTGAGAAAAATAAAAGTCTATACAAACGACTTCAAGAGAAACTACATTGTTGTCTACAATTTAAAGTTTTTAATTTAAGAAATTATGTAAATGACACATTAATTCAAACCCCACAAAAGTCACTGCTTGTTACTCTGCTTTCAATTGCTAATACTGAATAAACAAAAAGGAGGGGTTAAGGAACTATTAAAGGTGCCATAGAATGGTACACTATAGGCATATCGGAATAATAGAGTTCAGAACATAGCAATGGTATACAGCACGCCTCATAAAAACAGGTAATCAGAATACAACACAAACTGTGACATTACAGTCAGGATCATTTATAGGCTACACCAAAATCCCTTTAAAGATGTACTATAGTCTATGCCACCAACTGTGTTTGTTTCTAAAGAAGGGGCAATTTCTACTATCCTGCCAAAACAAACTGCCCCACAAGCATTAAGTAGTTATCAAATCCACATAAATGATTTAGCCATTTCTACAGTACTGTGAACCTTAGCTAACTAGTCAACTGCAAAGCTCTAGCATAGATAACTAATATTATGATGAACTTTTTACTCAGAGTAATATTAATTTATACTTGTGTTACGATATCATGGATCAAGTCACCTTGATATGGTTTCATTTTCCATGGTGATGCTGATAACAGAACATTAATTTGATATTTATTTCAATAAATAACAGAAAAAATTCCAAAAACCCTAATCACCAGTTTATTCATTTTAAACTATCCACAGGGCATATTTAACCACACGTATACGACATATCATAGGTATATCTCCAGATCCATATTGTAAGTCCTATGAACCACAGCTTCCAGATACCTTTTTACATATGATGTGGGAATGTCCGAAGGTACAAAAACTTTGGGATTCGGTGATGGACAATTTAATTTAAAGTTACAAAAATTTGTTTCCCCAAAGATCCTATACTGTTACTATTGAATGATAACTCTCAATTTCCCTTAAATGCAAAGGTCCGTAAATTTTGGTTAGCTGCTTCAACTGCTACAAAGAAAATGTTGGTACAAAGGTGGAAACCTTCTCATGATCTCTCAGTTAAGCACTGGTTACATTCATTATTGGAAATACTGTATCTGGAACTGTCATCAGCAAGGATCAACCATGCCAAAGTGGACATTCTTACGACATGGAAAATCTACATATGCAACGTCAAAGAAATCTTGGACACTTAACCCTCATCTGATGCTACGGATGACAACTTAATGGAAATTATCTAACAGCTTGGTCTAAACTATAGTTATTCTGTGTTTCCTGATGTGCGTATAATGGGGTGGGGGGGTGGGGAATATATATGGGGTTATAGCTGTTAAAAGTATTTTGTTATCGGATTGTAAAAATTGTATATTCTCACTTTCGGAAATAAAAAACTGAATTACAAAAAAATAAAAAATAACAGAAAAAAGAAATGGTTATCTTCAAAGTAGCTTGCTATTGTAAAACTAGTAACAAGGCAATACAACTGTGCCTTGAATTCACGGCAACGAACGGTATGTAATCATGTCACACCATACCAGGATCACGTGGAATTACAACTCTGTCACGTCAGTTGAAATGCATTTGAAAAAGGCATCAGCTCAATTTGTTCAAATCTTTTTTGTGTTTGTTTGTATGTGAAGTATGATTATTTGCAACTCTTGTATTGCAAAGCACATCGCAGAAAGTCATGAAGATACCCGTCGGTTATACATGTTTACATATCTGTTAGCTGTGTTACCTGTTGTGAATCAGACAGAGCTCATTGTTATTATTCATGACCCTTTCGTATAAGGTAAAAATAGACCACTTCATTCCATGTAAAACTACTTCTGGAGACTTCTAACTTCTATGTACCGTAGGAATCAGAGAACTATTGACACACCAGGATTAGCATACCAATATATGCATAAAATACTAATAACACCAGGACACCAGTAGAAGAATTAACATACCATACCAATGAATTCTATGGCACCTTTAAGGAAGAATTAATAAAAATAAATAGATTAATTAAATAAACCTCACCATTTCCACGCCATACTTCAGCAAGGTGGCATCCAGTTTCTCCCGGTTCCTTACAGAACTCCACCACATCGCGGCATGTTGTCTCTGGAGTGATGGGCACCTCCGTCAAGGCCTGCTCCCCATCACTCAAATACACCGTTAAGATCATCTGTGAGAGGAAAAGAGAGAAGTCTTTTAATATATCATGTCCAGCTAAGAAAAGCAGGGATTCCCACTCACACATAAGACCACTTGAGGGCAGTGTAATTACTCAAAAATGACTCTGATCAAATTAGTCAAAGATTAAATTGCCTTTCTGTTTTTTTTCCTCATTCTTCCATCTGGTGTTTGTTTTATACTCTCAACTCTTAGGTAGCAGCACATGGTGAGAGAAAACACCAATACAAAGCAAGGGATTGAGTGTATGTTAATGAGGGACATTTTCTGCCCCGCCTTTCAGCTGCACCTCACTCTGATTGAGGGCGGAGTCTGGATCTGTCAGAGTGACAGTGAATGGTAAATGTGTAGGCTGGTTAGTACTGCTCTAAGTGCAGTGAGACAGCAAAGAGATGAATGCTTTGGTGCAAAAGAGAAAGGCTGAGAGGAAGATCGAGAAAACGAGTGACAAACATCATTGCCTACCACATAATGAGATCTACTGTCTGGATTACAGAATTGCACTGCTACTTTAGTTTATTCACAACTCAAGAAAGTATTTCAAACACACAATACTGCTAACAGTGATCTACAATCTTGATATTAAATAGTATGGACTCAAAAGTGGTTACATCGTTAAACGTGCCATTGTGGAACATCGCAGAGCGCAGATAACAGATTCATTACTTCAACAATCACGCAAACATCCTGACCGGTCACAGCAGAGGTCTGTGATATGGCAAGTATCACACACACACACACACACAACTTTTTTCTAGAAACACAAAAGGGCATTAGATTTACATGGCTGGGGAAACCTTCCTATCTGTTATATAAGACTAAAGCATGGCATAACCTGATATAACTCCAAATGAGAAGTAAGTCTGACCTTTGTGTGGTGCTGCAGAGTCATAATAGAGGAGTGATAGAGTTTGTCCTCTTGATAAATCGCTGTTTCTTTAGCTATAGGCATTTTTGGCCCTGAGGATGGAGTGTGTGAAAATTACATTTATGAGTTTCTTTATTCCATTTATCTGCTATTATGGTCCAGTAGTTTAAGTACAAGGCTCATACATCACAGGAGAATTCACTTTAATTTTCACCATATGTTGAATTATTTATTGTGTTTAATACTGTAATGGAAAATAAAAATAACACACTTTTATATTTAACTATCATGCTGATTAAGACAACTAACTAGCACTTGATGTATGACACAAAAATTTATATTGATTAAGCATCATTTAGCATTTGCTAAATTACAATTTGAAAACATTCTGTTCACGAATGATATTTAGCTTGTTTTGTTTTTTGTTCACATTTTAAACTACTTTATAGATTAAAATATTTTTCATCCACACTGGCTTGAGAGTTCAGAATTTACTGCTTAATCCTGTTATGTGCACAGTTCAGTAAGTTATGGGAGTGACAACCCCCTTCAACAATCAAATTAACCCCTAAAAGTTAATTTACAAAAATCTACACAGTTTGAACATAAAGTAACCATTTATGTAGTTAATAAAGTACATAAATACATATTGTAGATGTTGAACTCTTCTGTATATGTAGCACAAGAAATCACAGGGTACTTCTTCACTTGAAGGGTTTGCTAGTAAAATTAGTAATTAGAACAAGCCGATAATAAAATCTAAACCCAAATGCATTGATTTAGACATAAGCAGACAGGGGCAATATTTCTGCTGACCATATGTGGCTTAATTGATTCCATACACAAGACCGCTTGAGTCCCAAGACACTTATTAAGTGTCACTTAAAATAAGTGGACATGACAATGCTTTAAAAGCACTTTCTGCAAAACAGTGTTTCAAACATAAATGAAACAGAACGCATCTCTATTTATGTAGAGTTTATTTTAATGGCATTAACTTATACCTTTAAAAAAAGGTTTCCAAGGCAACGTATAAGCATATCTACATTACTTTTAAAGCATCGCAAAACATTGAAGACTGGAATGATGGCTGACGAAAAACAGTTAATGAAACATCTTTAAATAGACTTCATGATATTAGCATATAGCTCAGGATTCATGTGGATACATTCACTTGTTAAAGTCGTGATGTATGACATAACCTACTGTTTCCAGGTCCAAGCTGCTACTCGATTGAATTGAGAAAATTCTTGTTTATGATCACTTTGTCATTTCACTCTGGGCTTGCTGCATCACAGATATCAGTATATATATATATATATATATATATATATATATATATATATATATATATATATATATATATATATATATATATATATATATATATTAGGGTTGTAACAATATACCGGTATGACGGTTTACCACGATTTGAACGTGCACGATTATCATACCATGAACAATTGCATATCAACGGTTTTAACCCTTAAAGACCGAGACAGCCGCCCGCGGCTAAAAATAAGTATTGCTCTTAAATGTTTAATAACTTTTGATCCGCTGATCCGATTCATACAATTCAAAGATTGGCATAAAGAAGAGAATCTCAGCTTTCCAGAGCTGTATCACATAACATTCGCGGACTTTCAGAGGCTCCGGAATCAGTGCGGTTACGTCATCAACATTTGACAACGCTGATTTGACAAAGAAACGCTCGTCACTGTGTCTCCGGACAAATCAGACATGATACATTGATGCATTGTCCCTCCTCCATGCCCAGATTGGTTCAAACTCGCTATATCACAACCAATAAGCATAGGTTTCGCTTTTGTTTGTGGACCAAGCTTTTTGAACAACACGGAATGAGAGATAGGCATACATTTATGCGCGGCTAAATAAAACGCAAAAAAAAAAGTTTTGCATGAAATAATTCTCATACTAAGTACTTTTGCATGCACAGCAGCACAGAAACATGACAAAACAGTGACACAGCAAAGACGAACTGCTGCTCTTGCTGTTTTCAAAAGACGCAAATGAAGGTGCAGCTGTTTGTCTGCATTGCAGATAACCATATCCAAATCCATGCTGGCACATAGAACCTAAGGATGTTCCATATTGAATCTAGTTTCGTTATGTAACTATTTATAGTATAGTAAATATTTATATCTATTTTTTTTACTGAGGATTTGCACCATGTTTATTTGGACTTTATTTGGACTTTGACACATTATTTATTATTTTCTTATTTTTATTTGTTCATTGTAAGTGGTGTTGTTTATAGTAACTAAAAATATATTATTTGGAAAAAGTCAAATTTGCTTCACTGTTCTATTATTTTGTAACATTTGTAACATACCGTATACCGCGAAACCGTCAAACCGTGGTATTGTTTTAGACGATTATCATACCGTGAAAAATTCATACCGTTACAACCCTAATATATATATATATATATATATTATATATATATATATATATATATATATATATATATATATATATTGCAATGATGATTTTCTAAATTATTACATTGTTATGAAAATGTTTATTATTACCATTTCTAGAGCCTCCCCATATAGTTTGATAGAGCGCTTGCACCCAGAAGCCACTTCAAGTCACACTTATCAAGCGCATAGTACGATTGTTCAAGAGCAAACAAACAGGCTATACATGTGATTTAAACCCCTTCGTTTTCATTTAAAGAAACACTCGGAAATATGCTAACCTTCCCTAGAGTTGAGCTCACGTTTTTTAAATTCATTCAGCCAATCTTTGGGTCTGCATGGTGGGAGCACTTTTAGCTTAGCATAAATCACTATATCAGACCATTGCCATCTCAATCACTTGTTTCGATTTTATTAAAAGCTTTACTCTATTGTAGCTTAATTATTATAAGAATAAAATGAAAACTATTTTCATTGCATATATCATTGCTTTTTTCAATGTAGATGTCTAACCACTCTTATTCCAGCGTAATAATCAAGGAACGTTGCTGCTGTACCATGGCTACAGCAGTAGCAATGATGTTACTCATTGCTTGAAAATAGTGCCCAGCCTATTTGGCTCTGTGAGGTGTTCCTTTAATGGTGGTTCGCAAACTAGCATTTGATATACTGACAGCACCTAATGGAAAGAAGTATGAAGCTCGGGTGGAAAGGAAGAAGAATCTAATCTGATCTGTCTCTCATATGAAAACAAAGATGATACATTTTTAATACTTTCTGTATGTTCTGGAATACATTCTTTAATATTGAACCATCACACCCCAGTGAACCCTTGATTGTTTGTGTCTGTGTGTCTGAACCCAGAAGTGTGTGATTCAAGAAGAGTCAGGATTTGGACCAAACACAGTGTATTGGTTTGCAACCCACTACACTATTTTCCCTGAATGGGGAGCAGTTCAATCATAACAGGTGTGTGGAAGAAGAAAGAGCTCTTGCACAAAAAAAAAAATAAAATAAAATAAAATTCTGTCAGATGCTGAAAACAGCCCTCCTTTCAGACATGGACATGAAAGAAACTATTGGATCAGGTCATTTCAGTGGGCTCTGTGTGGCGCAACTCAAGGACCAAAATATTTAGGCCACACACAAGGTTTTATGAAATTCCAAAATGGCTCTTTTGTGCATTCATGCAACAATGGACTTCGTGAGGCGCAACACCACAATGGAATTATGTAGGCCATGCACAAAGAATGTGTATGTGAAGGACAAAGAAAGGTGAAAACTAAACCTGCAGGGAAAACAATGCACACATAAGTGCAAATGGGTCCAAGTGACCTGCTGAAAAGCTGGATAATCCCTCTGAGAAGATTTAAAGCGCTGCAAACACAAACAGCGACACTGATACTGGCTTTACAGTCAAACTAGCCGGCAACTACAGAGTTTGAAAAAAAAAAATGCAAGCGACAAATAAAACGTAAAAATCTGTCTTAATTGTAACCAAAGGCTGATTTATACTTTTGTGTCGAATGATTGGCATGAACCGCGGCGCATACCTTACGCATGGTCCTGCATTTATACTTTGGCATGCTGTTTGTGTGGCTCTTAAACGCTAGCTGGGAATAGGTTATGTTCCACTGTGTCATGTTTCTTCGCAAGTATTTCGCTTTTTTCTAAACGCTACCT